TGAGTTCATAATCATTCCTGGTGTCATGCAAAAAAAAATTACTGTATGCTAGTTCTGCAGATACAATTGTTCCGTGTCAACTTTTGCCACATAAACACCTTTTTTCATTGTATCTCCTTTATCTTGATAACACTACCACAAAGCACTCTCTAACTGACCCTGTCACAGTGCTTGTAGCTAAAGAAATACATCATTGGGTGTGTTTGGGGAATTAAAACAAGTTAGCTCAGGTTGGTTCTGTTTGTGTAAGGTATGGCCCAGGGTGCTTCAGAGCCAAGGTAAGGTTGAAGGGGAAAATAAGGGGAAATTAAAAGTGGAGCTTGCTGAAGCTGTAACTCAAGCATTAAAAGAGGAGCAGGCATTAATCAAGTAGGAGTCTTTGTTTAAAGCCACATATAATCAGTTCCCAGAGTGAAAACTGCACCTATAAAGGGATTTGGTTTTGCAGGGGCTGTATCTGTTGCTTGGAGGACTCAGGTGGAACTTCAATACCATCATCTCTACCAGTGTGAATTTTAACTGCAACTAGTAAAGTCACTCTAAGTGTTTTATCTGCTAAACTTCATATCCAGGGCTTTTGCTTTGTGGGATGTATATTTTTCCAGCAGGCAAAATCATTCCTTTTCTGGTCTGGGAACACTGACTCCTTGGAACAGCAGGAAAGGTAAGCTGGGCTTTGCAAAGCAGGTCATTTACTGAGGTGTAAGATACTGTTAGAACAGTGACTTTAGTTCTGGACTAGACTGTAATGATTTCATGTGAACTTTTTTCTTTCATACCCTAATTAATTCCCATTTAGATGTTACTAGTTCGGTCATTTTAAAGTTCTGCATATTGCAATTTTGGAAGCTGGTTTTAAGTGCCTTAATGTTTCACACCTACGCTACAGATTCCACTCAGTGGAGAAGTTTCATTTGAGTATTAATATCCTTCAGAGAGACATTTATTTTAAACACCAATCTTAAAAAAAAAAACTACCCTGCATGATGATGCAGTGTGCAGCCTAATCCACTAATAATCTAAAGAGCCTGAATTGCTAGTTTCCTTTTCACCTCTGCTGATCTCTCTTAGAAAACTGAAGCCCTGAAATCCTGAGTTTGCCTGCTCCTCGCTGGGTAGCTCCATTGCACCCCCAAGTATGGAGGCTACTAAGATTTTCCCCCTTTTCTTCTGCCTCTATGGCCACTTTGTCTTAATATCATGGCTTTGTTCCTACCCAGCTCAGTCAGCTCCCCAGGGATGTGGCAGTCACCACAGACCTGTGTTATTTTATGGGTTTTCCCTGGTCTCAGCACTGGGCTTCTCAATGGGACTGGCTGGGAAAAGGAGGGAGAGCTTGAAGACCTGGGAGCTGGGTTTGGATGAATGTTGGGCTGAGCTGGTGGGGGAGCTGTTGGTTGCTCTTGGGAGGGACTCAAATGCATTTGTCCTTCGGGCTTTAGTTTCCTCTCTTGTTCCTAAGTATTATTTTCTTACTGACCCTAAGCCTAGAAAATCATGAAAAGCTGAACTGAAAAGTGTTACTGGTTTTAACAAATGTCAGTAGGGTCTGTAGCATTGTTGGGGAAATGTGGTGGGCTAATTTTCATGGCTGCTGAGACCTGCAGCTGTAGCTGAGAGGCACAACTCAGGGGCTCAGCAGTTCTTCAAGTTAGGCTTGGAAGCAGGTTTCTTTTTTTTTTTTTTCCCCTGATCTAATAGTCTTTCAGCATTCTCCAGGGAATATTCTCACTCATATTTAGGCTGGATTCTCTGAGCTGTTTGATTATTTTGTACCATTTGATTTTGCAGTTGGGGTTTGCTTCCGAGAACCTGCTGTAGAAAGATGAATAATTAAACTGCAGACAGGAAACACAATATTTTAACACTCAGTTGCTTCAGAGCCACCGCTGGCTTTCTGTTTTTATGACATCTAAGTCAGCAGTGGCCTGACTGGATGGTGGATCTTGGCATGCTCTACCAGTTCCTGTGCTCAGAAATGCATTTGGAGGTGCTGAATGTGAGGTTCAAGCCAACTCTGCTTGTTACAGTGACCAAATCTGGCTGCTTATGTACAGTAGGAACAAAATCGGACTGTGTGTGGATCCCTGGGATTCAATAAAACCTACTGTACTGTATTAGCTTCAGCTGGTTATGTCTGTCTCGAGGAAGTCTGCTTGCTTTCCTTGCTACTGGTGGAACCTGCTTAGGATGTCTTTGTTTTCTTTTCTCATCAGGGGTTAGTCATGAAAAACATTGGCAAGGCTCTGTAGCAACCCCCTGACTGGTGCATTGAATTGGCCAGTTACTGAAAGCTGCTCACAATGTCATTCTGAAACGGGTGGGTTAGTCTTTCTGAGATGCATCAGAAAGGTTGTGGGTGAAAGTCAAAGACTTTTTGCCTGCTGTAGCAGGCAGCAGAATTCAATAACCTGCAGGGGTGCAGTGCTGCCCTCCAGCATTTCCCCAGTGCCTTATGCCTACGTATGGGCTCTGTGAACTTCCAGTTTCCAGAAGCAAGTGGAAACTTTTAAAACCAGGTCAAATGGGCCATGCAGCAGAGGCTGAAGAACAAAGGCAGATGTCTTTCATTAACAGATAACTAGATTTAGTGTTCATTGGATAAAAGAAATGAGCTATTCCACAGCCTAAGACGACAGTGTAAATGTTTTTCTCTGGTTCTGTTTCTGCCAGCGATCAGGGTATGTGCTGGCAGAGGTGGATGTTGAACAACAGCTTTAATCTGGGACAAAATGCCTTCATTAATGCTGTGATGTGGGTAGATTGCAGATCTGAAGATGTTACAGAGGGAGGAGCCAATCTCTGTGCATCTCCAAGCTTAAAAGGAAGATCTTAGTAAGGACGTCTGAACCTGACTAGCTGCCTCATAGGAAATCATAAGGTAAGGCATGTTTATTTTTCTTATAACCATTAAATTAAGTCTGGCATAAGGAAAGATTTTTTTTAAGTTATCAAAAATAATAAATAATGTATTTTTCCTGTTCAGCCTTCATGAAAAACACCTGTGCTGTTACTCTGACAAGCTGTGTGCAGATGCAGTTGATAGACCCACTCTGACAGCTAGAGGCACGTCAGCATGCTGCCTTTAATGATGGTATAAATAATTTCCCAAACTGTAAAACTAATCACGGGTAATATGTTTCTGTACAAGTTGATAAATACATAAGTGTCACACGAGGCTGCAGGCAGGGGCCTTACAATGAGGATAATATGGAAGACTGTTGTTGGTAGCCTACCAGTAGACACTACCAGCTTGCTTTCCTCTGTGTTGTGTGGAGTTAATACGAGCACTGAGCCCGCACAACTCCTGGGTGGGAGGGAGGTTATACCCAGATAAGAAATGCAGCTGTGCTGCAGGCTCTGCTCAAGGGAAAGCAACTTGCTGGACATTTCTGGCTGATTGTAGTTTCCTTTGATGCTCGGTGTACATGTCCTCCAGAAGAGGGGCAGCATCGGGTGTCCTCTGCTGGGGGGGGAGTCTTGTTGAGGGGTGGAAAATTGCAAAAGGATTAACACATACAGTATCAGAGGTGAATTCAGGCTCTCTGCCCCATGGATTTCTTAGCTTTTAACCCTGATTTAGAGGGATTAATTTCCTCTGATGTCCAAGAAAAGGATGCTCTTTTAAGGTAATCTGCCACTAGAGAAAACAAAGCGCTCCAAAGCATTGACTGTTTCTTGAAAAACTAAGCAGCCTGGTCTTCTTGTCTGATGCTGAAAATACATATGAAGTTACAGACTGACTGAAACTTGGTAAGTGCAACAGAAGGATGGCTTTGTGGTTTTGCTTTCTGTCAATAAATTTAGAAAGGCTTTTATTCTGAAGCCCTTTTGTCTGCAGAGAACTTTCTCCCTTCAGATGACACCCACCGCAATATTCAAAGTCTTGGCTGCTCTTTGCAGTTGACTATGGCAGGCAAGAGCACTGAGGTCTACAAAAACCAGTCTAGCCCACTGACAACTTTTTTCTTTGGTTTGAAGAAGCTCCCAAATGTGACGCAAGCAGCAGGTCTGTGTGGTTTTACCCTCACAAGCAAAGGCCAAAGGATCTCTCCAGACGTAAACATTCTGAAGGTCTGGATTGGATGGTGAGAGAGAGCTCAGATGCTGTTGGATGACTTTGAGTTTTCACTGAGTGCCAGTCAGCATTGTGTAGAGAGCCTGAGCTCATGGAATTGCCAAAAACTGGTCCCCTGAGTCCCAAGTATGTCAGTGGAGCAGATATTTGACCTGAGGTGTTGCTACAAACAATGAAAAATCAAGGCTCAGAGAGATCAACTCAAAGTTCTTCTCATCCTTTCATTAAAGGGCCTTTGGAATTCTGCCTTTTCCCTTACCTGAAAAGAGCTGGTCTTACCTGGCCTTTGCTCAACCAACCATGCCAATCTCAACCTACAGTTTGCTTTTTTGTTGTCCTTCCTGTCTGCAACATATAGGACCCTCTTTCAATAGCTGTTAGTTGTTCTTTTCTTCTTCTCTTAGGAGGCCTACAGAAATCCAGCCAGGCAGCAGTGATTTGATTTGAGTGTGCACTAAGGTGACTTGATTTCCTTTGCTCTAGTTACTGTGCAGTTTGGTCCTTTCTTAATGAGTCCAAGTCAAGGTAACAAGTTGATAATGAGCCCTGTGCTCCTTGGCATCATCTCTTACCCTCTGTCTTCTTTCTTGTCTCGCATTTTGAACAGTGCTGAAAAAATCTCCAAGATTACATTCCGCAATGTGCTTTTACCCATTGGCCTGCTAAGCACTGCTATAATTCCAATAAATATCAATAAATTAAAGATACTGTTATGATTATTTTGACTCATTAATGGAAGAGGACCTATACTGTATGTGTGTGCAAACGTGGAATTTTGGCAAATTCCTGCAATAGTTTGTCATCTTAACATTGTAAATAAGATGCGCTAAAATACTTCTAAAGTTGGTTCTTTTGGTCGCAACGGTTCCCAGTTCCCTTTCTTGGCTGGTTTACTGTGTGCTTCTGCTGTGGTCTCCCTGCATCATCTGAGGGGTGATGCCTGTGTTATCTGAGCTTTCTTTTTCCATTGGAAAGGCTTCTTCACTTGCTTCTTCTGAGTACAGGAAAGACGTGGGCTGTGGAGCAGGTTCCACATTAACCAGATCTCAGGAACTTTCAGGCTGTGAACTACCATGAGATCTTTGTAAAAACAGGGGTCAAACGTCTGTAGGTGCGGGGCAGCGGAAGGCTTGACAATGCCAAAGGTCTTGAATCCTTCATGCAAAATGGGTTTGAGGTTGATTCTCTGCAAGCACATGCCCAAGAAGACATCGTCGATGGGGAAGAGTTCCACCTCCCTGCAAGCCCTAGAGAGCTTCCTCATGGTGCGGCTGGACAGCAAAAAGCCACCACCTCCTGCGTAGGCCGGGTAGATGCTTAGCCCATACATGGTCTCTGGGATGTAGTACTTGCTCTTTCGGACACGGATAGGGCGGGCATTGTAGATGATGTCCCCGACAAAGAGATCCTCAGCAGGGTCGTGCCTCTCCAGGAAGTCAACGATGTTCTCAACGTTGACAAAAACATCAGCGTCACCTTTAAAAATAAATTTCACGTTGTGGCAGAACTCAGCAGCCCAGTTCAGGAAGTGAATCTCCTTCAGGGTCAGATTGAAGAAAGTGTCCATGAAGTCCCAGAGTAAAATGTCCCGGTATGCCTGACTCTCCTGGTGGATCAGGGTCTCCCACGTCGCCAGCACTGTCCTATTCTTTGGTGTTCCCAGGAGGAACACTCGCTGGATCTGCTCCCCGTTCACCAAACCCTCTCTGCCCCAGGTCTTTCGGACAATCTCACGTCTGTCAAAGTCTTCAACTACTGATTTGATAGCAATGAGCAGAAAGGGACCTCCAGGCGTTCTCCTGCATTTCTTGGGCTGGTTGATGAGGAGATTGAAGTTCCTGTTATCCTTGTTCAGGAGATAGCGCTTGAAGTTGAAGGCAGAATCAGTTGATGGAGGCGGAGTCGTAGTTTGGACTCTGCTTTGGGCCACTTCTGTTTGTCTGATGACAGGAGTTACTTGGGGTCTGGGCACCGTTGCCTCTGCTGGCATCGGTCTCCGAGGTGCTCCAGGGTCAGGGAATATTTTTGGTTTCACTGAAGGCTTCTTCTGCATCGGCCTCTTGTTTCCTACTGGGACCAGATGTTCCAGCTGGGAGTAGAGTAGAGAGCCAAGTGCTACCAGCAGGAAGAGGGTACAGATCACATCCCCCTTCAGCTGAACTCTCATTGTTTCCGCGGTGTCTCTGGGACTGTTAAAAGCTGTGTCTGAGCTGCCTGGTGCCAATGTCCATCTGCAAACAAATGTGCAGGGTGTCAGCAAGGAGGATTTGGCAACGCTGAAGTACGTAACTGAAACACCGTGCAAAAAAAACAGCAGCCAAGTGCATTTTACTCCTACAAACACTGAGATGCGTTAAGGAACCTGCCAAAAGGCAGATGGGTTACAAGCCTAAAGCTGATCCTAGTGCCCTGATACTTGGTTAAGCCACCAAGCCATCATCCACCACCCCAAAAACCACTCCTGAAGCAAAGGGAAGGGGAAATCAGCCCTTCCTCCCACACCCCTCGTTGCCAAACACATTTTGCCAGTTCAGAGAATTTCACTGCTTTGGGGAAAAACAAGATGGAGAGTGATGAGCAAAGCCATGCTTCCATAAATCATTAGATTGTGATTTTTTTTTTTTTTTTCCTAACTTGGTAACTGTTTCTTGCTACTTTGACTCTTTCTAGTTAAAACAGGGAGGCCTGGACCTGCTGAAGGGCAAACTTCTCAGCAGCAGCATGTCACTGCTGAGACAGCTCTTGCAAAGCATTGATGGTTTATGCCTTCCAAATGAATGTTAGGCACCCTCTTGAATGCACACAAGGCCTTTTTGCTCCCAGGAATCTTTATAAAATATTAAGCTGTTATAAAAAAACTTCCATTAATAAGGCTAGAAAGGGCACCTCAGGTGTCTTGCCTCTGCCAAATCGCCCTAAGGGGTAAGCAAATAAATCCCAATATGCAGAAGGAAGGTAGAGCCTCGTGTTAGGAATGTTTTATTCCAGTGTGAGAGATGAAGCTGCCTTTTGAAATAGAAGATTTAATTTCTCACTTACACTTTTCCAAGAGATCTTCTGTCTCATTCGATCAGTTCTTCAGCTGCAAACAAACAAACAAGAAAAGCAATAATGACATAGCAAGGAGGCAGAAAGCAACACGTAACCAGAGTCTGGGGAAAGAGCTGGTCCAGTGTCTGGAGCTGCATCAAAGGCAGCTCTTCTCACCACCACTGCTGAACAGAGGAGACCCAACAGTTGCCCTGGGCCCCTGGGGAAGGCAGGCAACTATTGTCATCCCTACAGTCATTAGTGGGGAGCATTTCCTAAAAGTTCAGCTCCACCCAAAGATTTTCCCACAAGTATGGGCCGTTTCCTGGGCCGTGTTACGAAAAACTGCTTTTGAAGGTATTTCTGGTGTCTGTCTTGAATTAGCCGAGGTCATTGTACCCAAAACCTTGCTCAAGAGCTGCCTGGCTGAATGTCAGTCTGCCTTCACTTATTGAGGACTGGAAAGGGTGGAGGAGCCAGGGCTTGTGACTTCCTACACAGTTGATTCCTGCAGTTCCCAGTTTTCAGCCTGCAGAGCACATCTTGCAGTTGAGCCCCAGGACCACCATACTGACTCAAACATAACATCTGATGGAGCAGCAAAGTGCTTGGTAAGAGTATTGTTATTTGGCGCGATTATGACCTAAATGAGGACCCTCTTCAGCTTGGTGGCACGAGTTTTCAGCAAATCTTTTTTCATTGTCATGGCTTGTATCCTCAGGTAATTGTTCATTAGCCATTGGTTTTGTATCAGTGTGTTGGTATCATGCTGCTGGAGCATGGCCAGAGAAGGGCAATGAAGCTGCTGGGAAAGGGTCTGGGGCACAAGTGTGGTGAGGAGCAGCTGAGGGAGCTGGGGGTGCTGAGCCTGGAGCCAAGGAGGCTCAGGGGAGACCTTCTGGCTCTGCACAGCTCCCTGACAGGAGGCTGGAGCCAGGTGGGGGTCGGGCTCTTCTCCCAAGGAACAAGTGATAAGAGGAGACAGTCTCAAGTTGCACCAGGGGAGGTTTAGATTGGACCTGAGGAAAAATGTCTTCCCTACCAGGGTTGTCCAGGGCTGTCCCAGGCTGCCCAGGGCAGTGATGGAGTCCCCATCCCTGGAGGGGTTTCCAAGCCATGGAGATGTGGTGCTGAGGGACATGGGTCAGTGGGGACCTGGCAGTGCTGGGGGAATGGTTGAACTTGATGATCTTAAAGGACTCGTCCAACCAAAACAGTTCTCTGATTCTAGAACACTTTCTTTTCAAAGTTCAAAATTAAATTGATGAGTCTGTAGTTATGAAGTATTAAAAAGGTGGCACACCATTACCCCCAGGCCCTGTGAGATCTAGGCAATAGTTTCAAGACCTGTGAGAAAGCAAAATTAACAAACCTGTTAATTTCTTTGCCAGCCCCTCTAAACTTTGAGATGCACATTACTTGGACCTCATAATTTTAAAATATCTTTCTTTTTCATTACTAATTAACTGCGTCTCCAGTTGAAATGGGGAGGATTTCATCATCCTATGGTATCAGCTGTCTTTTTCCCATGTGCAGCTCCAAAATATTTACTGACCTTGTCTGCTTCATCTCCAGTACTCCTGAAAACAAATGGCTTGTCCGTGGCTTGGTGTAAGGCTCTTTGCATTCCCAATGGATTCAAAATCACTTCTTCCTTGTCCTGGTGACCAGGCTCCTTTCCTCAGGCTGCCTTTCTTGCTGTTCTCTGGCCTCTGATAGAGATCACTGGGATTTTCTCCACGTGTTGGCTTTTTTTTTACTGTACTTTACACTTCTCTCCTAGGCCAGCCAGACGTTTTAACATTTGATATTACAAGCAGAATTGTAGAATTTCTCTGCTCTCTTAGAAATCCTTCTTAATATACTACTGATAATAAGAGGCTGTTCTCTGGCTTTGTTCTTTCTGCCATGTGACTGGGCTCACAACTCCTTTCAGCCTCGTGAAACAGTCCCTCCTAACACGTATAGGATGTTAGTTTGTGTTTTATGCCTCTTGTGTGCAGATTGCCCTTGGCAAGTCCTGGTTGTGGTGCTCTGCAGCAACCTGCTGTGATTCACTTTGGTGCTAAATCATCCTTTAGCTGTTAAGTTGCCATTCACAGCAGGATTTCCCTCACATTGCCCTCAATAATTTTCCAGAAACTCTAGGGATAATGAAATGATGGTTGCCCAGAGAGGTGGTGGAGGCCCTATCTCTGGAGACATTCAAAGTCAGGCTGGATGAGACTCTGAGCAGCTTGACCTAGTTGGAGATGTCCCTGCTTATCGCAGGGGGTTGGAGTAGATGACCTTTAGAGGTCACTTCCAATCCAATACATTCTATGATTCTATTCTACACCCTGGACATGCCACCAAATTGGAACCACTAAGGAGAGAGAGTCTGTCCCTCTTCTACCCATCATGAGCAAGAATCTTTGCTGAGTGCTACTGAGATACCTGAAGGAGACCTTGTCTCAAAAAGCTCTTAAGAACTAAAATTGAGATCTTTGCTCCTTCTGTTGTGATAGGAGGGTCTTTATTGAGGTGCTGCTCAGCAATGTGTAGTCTCTGACACGAGTGGGAGATGCGGAGCCCCTGGTGGGATGGATCCTGATGGCGTTGGGATGTGCGTGTATCTCTGCTCCAGCTCTTTGGGAAGTCTCATCTCTTTCTCCACTGTAACAGCAAATTTTTTTTTTTCCCTTTTGTATGCAAAGGTTTGATCCTGTTTCGTCTGCCAGGCTCCAGATGGTAATTAAGGAATTGGATGAAAGTCCTGGCTCTTTCCTGTGTTTAATTTTATCGGCCATGGTTTGGAATAAAATGTGTGTGTCATGAAACTCGTCATTTCCATGACTTACAGATTTATCCTGCCAGTATCTCGGAATCTGGCAATAAGCACCCTTGAAAAAGCCAAGAAAAACCCTGAACTGTTACAAGCCTGGGCTGATAGCCTGGATTTTCTTCTGTGTTTTCATTTATTGAAAGAAAAGAAAGCAGAAATAGCGATTTTCATGCTGAAATACAGCAGTTCAGTGCTGAATATAGACATCTAGTTTTCAAAAGGAGCTGCCAGAAGTGAATCTTTGATCCAATGATATGGATTTTTCAGTCTTGCTTAGGTGTTTCCTCCTTTTGAGGGAAATACCGTAATTATTACACAGGTATGAGCTCTATCTGTGGAAGTCAGTGTGGGAAAAGCTGTCCTGTTCCTGAATTCGGAGGGATTGATGGTTCTGGCAGACACTCAGTTATGTCCTAGAGCCAAAAGGATTATTCATCCACCTCGACACCGGGTGGGAGGGAAAATTACAGGGCTGTCAAAGCCAGCAGAAAGTGTTTGAGGCCAAACAAAAGAGCGGTGAGTGCAGCAGACTGTTTCTCAGTGCAGCATCTCGCTGTGTGTCCACATCCAAGGTGGACACACCTCTACTCTGTGCACCACCATGGGGGATCTCCATCCAACCTGGGAAATGGAGCTGGGGTTACAAAGCTGCTGCATCACTCAGTGTCTTGGAGAGCCTGGGCATAGCTGCCCCAGCTGCCTCCCGTGTCCTTCAAGTCTGGAGGAACGGGCAGTTGTCCCTTTTTGTGTTGACTTGCCTTGTGTGGGCTACCTGGGGATGGCTGCAGTAGGGAAGTAGGGATCTTGAGGCCAGCTGGAGTGGGTTGGAATGGGACAGTGCAGCAGGACAAGACAGGTCCTGAGGAAGGTCAGGAGCATCATGTGCTGGGCTGTGATCACCAGTGATGTTAGAGGGCTGAGCTGGGCTGTAGGAAGAGACTGAGAAGTCCAACACTGATGGGGTGGAACCTCGGGGAGCCCGGACATGGGGAACGTGCTGGAAGGACTGAGGGCTTCACAGCCTGCACAGCCAGGGAAGCTGCAAAATGCTCGAAAGCTGGAAGTGGTCAGAGCTGGGCAAGACACCCTGGTGAGCGTCCAGGCAGGGAATCTGACCTGTGCTGTTGCACGCTCGGGCACAGGGCCCAGTCCTCCGCCTGCTCTTCGTTTATTTGAGAAGAGGATTCTGAAATATGGCCAAGGAGTGCTGCAATGAAAGCAGTTAAATGATGATTTTTTTTAATTTTTTTTTTTTTTTTTAATCTTAAGTTGCTAGTCCTTCATTCCCAGATAAATGGCATGAAGCTTTGAGC